GTCCAGACATTTAATAACCTGTTCAAATCATTTGCCAGTTTTACATATTGAGTCCGACCTTTTAAAAACTATCAATTACGATGAAGTAGTTGATAATTTTGCGAACAAAAAAGTACGTAGGAAACCTTTATAGGCATATAAGCAAACCTTATAGTTTTGTTGTTCGTTTGTTGTCATTTTATATGAATAGTTTAATATTTATTTTATGTTCTGTGTTGATCTGTTCTGTCGGTCTATTCTGTGTTGGTCCTGTATTCAAATAAATGTTTTTTATATCCGTAATTTTTAATTAAAAAAAATGTTAAAGGGCGGCATTTTTTTTGGCCTGGGGCGGCAACTCCGTTAAGTCCGGCCCTGTTCAAACATACGAATTATTGAACTGAAAATAATTACGCTCAGATAGATTTTTTAGTAAATTTTATGCTCTACAAGAATCCGCGATGTAAACATTTTTATCGTAAACCGTTTCAAAGTTATGTTAATGGAAATGTTAATGGAAAAAGATTTTTTTGCGTGTTATTTAAATGGTAAACTTTGAATGTTCACCGACACCTTTTAAAAGTAAGCTAAAAATCCTGTCTTCCGGGGATATTTTTTTCTCGATTATTAGGTCCATTTTAACCCATAAATTCCATAGGTTAGTTTTTTTTTGGCTCACCCTACTGCACATGGCTTCGTCCATCAATACCATTAACTTTAGATGCATATTCAGCTTATACTCTCATTACGCTTATTACTAAATCTAGCTGACTTTAAAAATTTGACTTATAGCATACAAGTAACGTTTTTTCGTTTCTATAGATAGGTAACCATTTTTACACGATTGAGTAAAATTATTGCAATCAATGCACTTTTTTCGTTATTATTGTTTGAAGCTACTTCTAACATATCTATTTTTCTAAAAACCCAGGAGTCTATTTGTTTGTTTTTTTTTTGTCATTGGCTGCCTATGTTAATTTAAAAACAATTACGAAAATTTCACGGAAAAAATAGTTGCTTACCACCGGCGGACTCGGTCACGACCAGTCGTTTTGCGTTAATGAGCTTTCGAAAGGTCGCGGACCTCCACTAAGAGTCGCTGCTAGTACAGAACGTTTCGAAATAGCCGGTGCCGTTGGCGGAAAAATGCGTGATCGATGTGACGTCAGAGCGGACTAGGTACGTGATACCGATTCGGAAAAAAAGAGTGCTTTGATGGAAATTTGACTCCTCTGTGGCAATAATTCCAGTATCTGCTTTACCCTTAACTTTATAATCCATTACACACTGGCCGAAAACCAATGTTGTTTTTGTAATACAATTAACCATAATAGCGCGTGGGCGAGTACTTTGGAGCAGGGTGCAAAAAATCATGATTAAAAAAAATAAAAAAATATATGTGCTCTCTGTACGCATATTTTAAGAGACCACTTCACTAGTCCGAAAAGGTGGCGAAATAAGCGTTCGGCATTTAAGTTTTATGTAAACCTGGCTAGGTATTTTTACACAAATGAAGAAGGAAATTAAAGATAAAGGACTATACTATAGTGTGACCAACGGATCTGTAGCTACGGGGTATCGACAGGGGAACGCAGTTGTAAACAAAACACGCCCAATTTCATTCATAAAATAGGTATGGGCGTACGGTGTTATATGAAAATAATGTGTATCATAAATATAATACTCAGATTAATAATTTTTTTCAAAAAACTTTATGCTGTTTGAATCGTTACTGTTGAGTTAGCAGATAAACACTAAAAGCTTTTATTAAAGCTCCCTTAAATATTTTGAATCATTTTATTATTGTGTTGTTAATATAATAGAAGAAATAATTACAGCTGGGGTTGGAACCTTTGGTGTTACACAGCAAAAAAAACACTAAATCAGTACAATACACCAAAACACTTTTAATTTTACACTGACGCACGTTTCGCTAACCATGTCTGCCATCAGCAGATAATCAAGAGTCTTGAGGTATATTTATTTATATATCTGTACTAACTATATTTTTCTATAATACATATTTTAGATATAACTATTTCCAGCAAAAAAATCTTGAAAAATAGTTAACTTTGGTAGCGCAAACAAACATAATTTTACTCACCAGTAGATCCAATATTGCCTATTACACCAGATATGGTATCGCTCCGCCAGCAGTTTTAAAGGTTAGGTCATTGTCTACCCATATGTTTCATCCAAATAGATAATACTTGGCTATATTTTCGAATTTCGCGTATATATTATATATCTCTCTGCAATATAATGGGCCGCATCCATTATTTATATTTACGCCAAAAAATTCATTTGATTTTAATAACCCCTAAGCGTTTCCTTGCAAAGGAAAATTGATTCTTCCTCGCAATTTTTGCAAAAGCTTTCTAATTGCGGGGACGAGTTTGAATTCGAGATAAAATCTATTTTATCAAATTCCTGACCACTTCGAAAAAGTCGTCGAGCTTTTCGGACAGCAGTCTCACGTGGTCCTTTCTCTTCCATAGCTGGATATCATTTTATCGGGGTTAGTTTTCAGCCTTTTTTATCTTCTGTGTGAATTTTTTATAGCCGATACGCTAACTCCGGTATAAAGAAATATCCGCTCAAGTTTCACGTTTAAGCGGCAACTTAAGCGAACTCTCTGTAGCTTCTTCATCGCAAACCCTATTATGAACACAAGGAAATAAACCAAATGAGATTTCATCCACGTTATTATTAACTTACCTATATAAATTAGCTATTATTTCTCTTGTCTGACTATGTAGCGTCTTACCCTTAACAAATTTAAACTTGATATTAATAATTAAAACTACGAACGAAAAACATTATAACAAGATAACAAAACAATAAAATACAACTTAACTATCAAATATACGAAAAATATAGGAATAAAGTTTAGGATAACCGGTATAAAATAATGAAATAAAGTAATAATGATCAAAAAAATGACACCGCCACTGGATATTTCAATAGTATTCAATATTCCTACTCTTTTCAGAAGAGACCGTGAAGTTGGGGATAAAGCAAGCGAATAGGAAAGGCGTAAAAGCCATGGCAAACTCGCGTGGTAACAAATCCTGTGACGTACTCGCCAATCATGTTCGATGAATAGGCGGCCATGCGCGGCGATGCCGGTTTGCCAATGATATCGTTGAAAATCTTCAACTTTCATAATAAGCAGATTATACAGAATGAAAGAAATAAGTTATTAAATAAAACATATCGATCAATATGAACTACGTTAAAATTCCTTAGTAATATACGTCAGAATATATGCTAAACACATTATATATAATAAAAATATATTAAATTTATAGTTCATGTCTGGCAATTTTGCAATTTTATAGATAAACGTGGCAATATCGATTTTTTTCTCGCATTCCTTCCGTAGTTTCAGATCCGCTGGTCAAACAGTATATATCCATATTGGAGCACATTTTTAGACAACTTCTTCATTTTTAAAATTTTGATGTTCAAGCATCAACGAAATATTCCTTATGTTTGGACTAAATTTTCTTTAAAATAAAAACATAATTTAAAATTCCGTTACAATACGAAAAAAGATTGAAGTTTTGTGATTACACTGATATATAATTTATATGATTTTGTAACAAATTGCTCGCTATTTTATAGCAAATGCTGAAGCTCTCCAAATCTTAATCAAGCCTTAATCAAAGCACGTGTGTTTAGTATTTTGGGTGTGGCTTAACACGACAAGATCGGGCTAAGCCTTAGTCAGATTTCTGAAATATAATATATATTTCCTTCGGCCACACACCCGCTTTACCCGATCCCTGAGAGCGACCCGAACAGTACAGCGTAAATAGACTCTTAAGTGAAACTTCTTACTAACAGCTTTTAAATTAAAGGATTTGAAGGAAATGTTTGAAGAAGTGTAGTTTGAAATGTTGAAAAAGTAATAAATTAAAAATTAATAAATAATTCCATTCACTTTCACAAAATTTGTACCAAAATGACCGTCTGATCGTCTATCCGTCTGAGGACTCCATTTGGATACCTCTATCCACTTGCCGAGTATGGTTCAAATCAACTCATAATTAAGAGAAAAATCCTAATGATTTCGTCCATTTAGAGGCATCGCACAGAGGGGATTTTTTCCAAATTCTTGGCCAAAATGATTTTTGTAGCATAAACTTACTATTTCTTTTCGAAACTAGTATTTACATTAAAAGTGAGTCATATTTACTAAGAAAATGTCTATTATACACTTTGATGCTATACAGGGTGACAAAAAATTGCAAAGTTCGAAACAGAGGTAATATTAATTATTAGAAGGAAATATTCAGTAGTTTTCATCTTTAAACATGTATTTTTTGCAAATTGTTCTTATGTTTTTCATTTTCATTACATATAAATTTTAAGGGAGTGTACAACCCCTAAAATATGTTTTATTTTAAAAATTGTTTAATTTTGCAGAAAAATGGTTGAACACGTATTTTCTATCGCTTTTCACCAAAATCAATAGTTTTTTAAATAAAAAATATTTAAGGGGTTGTTCATCCCTTAAAATTTGGGTTTTGAAAAATCCCTACTTATTGAACCTCTACACCTAACAATCTATACGTAAGCCGTAGGGGTGAGACACTTTTGAGATGCACCCGGTATAGTTTGTCATTAATATCAGATGACCCGGTATATTATATACCTACTCTTCGAAAGACTACCACAATGTTTTTTTATTGCGCTTCTATTTATACTGATGGACGGTAATTAACGCTAATTAATGCGCATACGCAATGAAAATTAAAAAAGGGAAAACTATGTTTTCATTAGGTGAAGGTCTTCACATTATTAGTTCTTTACTTCGGCCCATTGTTTTCTTCATCAAGTTGAATTAGCTTTTTTGTAAAAGGAGAAAACGGATATTTAATCACGCAAAAGGAAATTAATTCCTCTTTGGACTTGTGTGAAGAATGCTATAAATAACATATACAGAGACTATTAAGTTTAATAGAGTATTTACATGCTCTGGGAATAGTAATTATAGTATTTACAATGTGTATAAAGCTTGTCGCCCACTTGGCCGTCACGTCCCGTCCCGTTCCGGCCCGTCAAAATACGGATAGGATTAAAACCATGCAAATGAATAGACTATCGCACATTAGCCCGTCACGGCACGGAACGGCGAGTCCGTCGACGGAACAGATTCCAGCTCTCCGACTCTCCCCGTCAAATGACGGCCCGTGCCGGGACGGGCCGGGACGGGCCGGCCAAGTGTGCGTGAAGCCGGCCGTCGCCGGCCGGCGCTGGCCTGCACCAACTTGTGGAAGCCTGTCGATCGCATATACATATGTTTTGCAATTATTTCGGCAGTTGTTGTTGTTGAGTCCGAGAAAGCAGTCCTAAGAAAAAAAATTAAAAATGGACGATGAAAAATTAATTTGTTTAGTACAAAAATATAGGGAAATTTATGATATAACTGATAGTGCTTATCATAACCAGCAACAAAAGGACAACATATGGGAGGAAATCGCTGGAGAAATAAACAGACCCGGTATGTATTTATTTTATTATTTATAAATATATCATATATTTTTTATATATATTCAGCCAAAATCACATTTCAAGGTTTTTTCTTTTGCCTTTTCTTACTATTGCTGTTTGCCATGACACCGACCCGGTCCCATTAAAATAATTTTTAAATTTATTTCTAATCTCTATTGCAACTGTAGTTGAAGATCCGCCTATTCCCGATATATCTCTTAATCCTTGGGGGGATTGGTTATCTTCGTCAGCTTCAGTCCAATGACATGTATCATTTCGAAGAAAATTATGTAAACAACATGTAGCAAGTACAACTTTATCTAGGTGCTCAGGGATAATTTGAAGACGCCTCTGGTAAATACGAAATCTCTTTGTCAAAATTCCAAAAGCATTTTCGGAAACTCGCCTAGCTCTACTAAGTCTATAATTATATATTTTAACGTCCTCGTTATTAAGTATTTCGTTACCTGGATATGGACGCATTACATGTTTTTGCAAAGGAAAAGCCTCATCTCCAACGAAGACGTGGGGCATAATTTCATTAGTGCCAGGTAAAGACTTGTCCTGAGGTAAATCTAAAGTATTTTTCAACAATTTCTTTCCGATTGCTGAATTTGCAAATATTCCCCCATCGCTATTTCGTCCATAGGCGCCGACATCAATAGCAATGAATTTACAATGAGCATCTACAAATGCAAGTAAAACAATACTAAATGTTTTCTTGTAGTTAAAAAATAAGGAGCCACTATTGGGGGGTTTGTCGGTAACTACGTGCTTCCCATCGATGGCAGCAACGCAGTTTGGAAAATTCCACATCTTATTGAACACCCTTTCACTATTTATCCAAGTTTCCTTTGAAGGAGAAGGTATTACCAGTGGTCCCAAATTTTTCCATATTGCATCGCAACATCCATAAACAATTTTACGAACTGTTGTTTCTCCAAGTCGGTAGCTAAACGCAATTGTTCGGAATGTGTCTCCCGTAGCAAAAAACCTAAAAAAAGTAATGAAATAGTTACCAAACCAGTTGAACCAGTTGAAATATTTTAAAATATCATAACTTTTATACCAAGACTGCTATCACGCCCTTTTCATATTTAAGTTTGTAAATAAATACTAGAAATTTCGTAATAAGCTCCAATTGTTAAATTTTTTTAATGTAATGGAGTTTCCTGTCAATAAATAAATGAAATAAAATAAAAACTTGGTCAGACCTTTCTCAGAAATATTTCAAAATAAAATTGACTCTCCTCTCTTTCTAGTACCATTTTTTTTTGTTTTTTTTTTTATTATAGTTACCGAATGCAAGAAAAGATGGAGCACGTTAAGAGATACCTATCGAAAATCTCTTAGGTCTCAGAGAACTAAAAGTGGTGAAGGAGCAAAAAAAAAAAAGATTTGGCGATATGACAAACACATGTCTTTTTTGCGATGTTTTTTAGTAGACAGACAGCAAATTAGTAATGTTGAGCAGTGTGATTCATCAGAAGATGAAACACAGGAGCGGGAAGAAGACAGTAATGTCACAGATGATGTTAGCAGTCCCAGCAGTATTCCAAAAGGTCCTTCTACATCCAAACCTTGCAGTTCTGCCTCTAACACATCTCAAACATCAACTCATAAAGGGTCAAAACAGGCAAAAAAAACACTTTCATCAGCAGAAGTGCTTCATGATTATTTAAAAGAAAAAAACAGTCAAAAAAAAACACCACTAGAAAGACAGAACGCTTCAGATGCTATATCAAAATTTTTTGATTGTATGGCAGAAACAGTTAAAACATTGTCTCCTCAGTTACAAATTGAAGTCAAATCAAAAGTTTTTGCAATAGTTAGTGATGCAGAAATAAAAAATCTAAATTTTAGCCCGATAAGTCCAACCACCAGCCAAAAAGTTACTTTAATTTCTAATCAACCACCTCGATCTACAAATGTTCCTCAACAAAATAGGGTCACAATGCCACAACCACATTTTCACCAGCAACAGCAGCATCAGTTGCCATATCCGCAGCCTCAAACACAGCACTCACCAGCCATATCACCAAAGCCCTTTTCACAATCACAATCACTCTTATCATCATATTCTCAGCAACACATACCATTTGCTTCTGTTCTACAACCTACCACCAGTTTCACCGAACATTTTGATGACAATAACGATGATAATGATCTTACACAGATCTAGAATGCTATTTCGTATTCTATAGTCGGTGGTGTTAGTGACATTAAACACCAAAATATTTCACTTCCGGATACCAGCACCAAATTTTGTTAAAAACAGTTTTTACACATATAAGAGATTGAAAAAACTATCCGAAGACTGGGGGTAAGTCTCCTGTATTTTGGGTGGTTGTAAATATTTTTACACAAACGCCACGGACTATTATGCTTTATATTTAGAACAATTAATATTATTTGTTGGTAATTATCAAAGAATGTTTTTTTATTTCGTTTTTTTTAAGAAAAGAATATTACTTTTGTGCTTTGACATTTATAATAAACATTAATAAGCTAAAATACCGATTTATTACTTACCTTAATGCTACGGCAAGCCTTTCTTCTTTCGATATTGCTCTTCGAAATGAGGAATTTTGAAATGATAAATCAGGCTCTAAAATATCAAGCAGTTCTAGGAATTTATTATGCGACATTCTAAAATATTGAAAAAATTTCTTTTCATCTTCTTTTAAATCGTTAAATAAATGATGGAATTCTCCGAGTTCAGCCCTCTTTTGATTAATGGGATGGACCCACATCTTTCTCTTTATCTTCTTTTTATTTTCTTCTTCTTCTGCCAAAAATGCGGCCGCTACAATAACTTCTTCATCAGAACGTTGCTTTAACACACATAGTGACCCAGTCACTGCTACATGTAAACTAAAATAAAAAGATCTTCGCAACACACGACCGCGACGTGACGGTTTGCCGGTTTCCACCGGAAAAGTGGGCGACCAAGCTCTCCGTCGCCTGCAGGCGACGGGCAGCTACGGTCCGTGCTGTGCCGGACAAGTGGGCGACAAGCTTAAGAGTTATAAATAAATATTCCTAAATATAGCGTCAAAAATAATAATACTATATTGGGTAATGAGTTTTGTAAATAACATATTATGCATGAAATGAAAAGTTGCCAATAAGTCGCGTAGCAATAACTTCAGTATACCATGAGTGTATACCTAATATGCTTTTCCTAGGGTTTTTAGAACCGGAGCTGTTCTTGAGAAACGAGAATTTCTGTGCAACGCTTGTAAGGTACATTTGTTACTAGCTAATTTTTGTTCAATGATCGTGCTGAATGAATCAGCAAGCAAGGGATGGTTTTCCAAATTAAAATCGATAAAAATGGATCGAAAAATGGAAAAAGGTTTTAATAAATTTTATCTAATTTTTTACCTGTGAGATATTACCATTACAACCCATTCTCACAGATTAGCCAGACTATTTTTTTTCTTATCTGCACCACATCTCTCACTAATAGATGTGTCTTTATCGCTGGAAAAAAAGTGCAGTATATTTGTTAATTTCTAGCACATTTTCGACCCCAACCTATCGGAAAATCCCCCTTTACATATACAGGGCGTTTCAAAAAACATGTGCCATCTCTCGCGGGAAGATTCCTCACGTAAAAATAAGATTTATTTTTCATATCAACATAGGTTGGATTCTGCTTGGTTTCCGTAGCTACAGGGTGTTAAAGTCTTAATATTTCTTTGATTTGTTATCATTTTCTTCCAAGCACTTTTAGCGGTTCGAATAAAATTTTGAGGGTAACAGTTACTATAAATGCGACATATTTTAAAGCTAAAAAAGTATCGACATATTCACCAGGGACGTGCATATGGGTTATCATTAGAATATTTTTATAAAAAAAGCATGAACGCCACTGACTTTTTTCTATTGTTAGCAAAAAAACCCTGTATATGAAATTTGCTTGAAATAAGATACCGAATAATTCTATCGGTGTCTATTGCTGACTGGGAAAATAAGTACCAAAAATCTTCACTGCCTATAACTATTTTTTAGATGGCTATCTGTTTTTGAAGCTCCACTTTGACCTTAATTGCCTAACGAAACCTTTTTAATCGGGTCATAAAGCGGCAGAGAAATTTACACGGCGCATCCAACGATTTTTAGTAATTAAATTATTTAACTAATTTGGCACGAATTACAGCTAATTGAGAAATATGACGACGTGGTCGAACCGATCGCTTTTCTAAATTGGTCTCGCCTCTATTTTCAGCTTCAGCAGATCAACAATTTATGTACGTCTAATTGATGTCAAAAAGGTCTAGGCCTCGATTTACATTCGTATTCGTATGTCGTACGTTCTCCTCTCCGCAACAGTACTGTCGATGATAATTTCGAACATCTGTTATTTGATTGTTTACGCGACTAGGTGACTATGATGTCATTTTATTCACATTATTTTATGAAATGACACTATAAAAATGTAGGTTCGATATTTAGGTAACGATGGCTTTTCTAACAAAGCAAATAAACTATTTAAAACTATTTAAAATATCTGTACAGGGTGGGTCAAATTCGACGCTTTTAAATGGAAACACCCTTTTCTATAGGAGATAGACGAAAACTAATATCGGTGTCTGGAGCTCAATTTTCATCAAAAACATGATGGTGAAAACCGTACATTAATATCTGTTACCGTTTCGGAGTTACGGGGTGTTTTTCAAAAACGTGCATTTTTAACAAATCGCTGTAACTTTTTTGCTATGGAAAATTTTGTATTTCTATGAAAACATTTCCAAAGCACCTTTTTACGTAGAATTTAATGGTTTAAGTATAATTTTTTTAAAATTAATAATTTAAGAGTTATCAACAGAAAAATTGATTTTTTATTTGGGACACCCTCTATATTTTTAATTAACTGAAAAGAATTTAAAATTACCTTTCCAAAAATATAACACACTTGATATTTTGTTATAATCCCCTTCGAAATACAGAATTTTTAAAAGTTCGCCACTTTTAACTAGTAGGCTTTGGACCCCTTATTGATGACATGCCCTTAATGGAACTCATGGGACCAGAAGCATATTTTTTCCAGCAAGACGACGCACCGCCTCTGAACGCTGAAGTTATTGGCAAATTTTTGCAGCCAATTTCAAGAATAATTAAATAGCTAACCAAGATCCCAGCCGTTGGCCGTCGAGGCCGCCTGACTTAGTTTAGTGCCCATGGATCTAATCCTTTGGATATATTTGCGGAAGAATAAAGGTTCCTTATTCTTCCGCATAATCTAGACAAGAATTTGAAATACTTAGCAATTATTCGAGGGTATCTTTCACTCCCACTGAGTTAATCAATTCCGCGAGAAATGTTCAAAAACTGCCCCGTCTGTCCATAACAGAAGACGGTCCAACCAAACCAAACACCTGTAGCAAAATCTCATGCATGTCTTATTGGTTTGCTATTTATTTTTATTGATATTAGATATAGTTTAAATGTGTTGATGTTGGTTAAATATATTTTAAATTGTTATAAAATTCTGCATCTCTCATAGCAAATATTATTTTCGTTTTAATTGATGCTCACAGCTAGAATTTTTTTGCATTACAGCCGGTGCCGTTCAAAGCCTACTTATTTAAAGCGGGCGAATTTTTATATACTCTATATCTCGAAGAGGAATCGAGCAAAATATGAAGTATGTTATATTTTTGGAAAGGTAATTTTAAATTCCTTTCAATAAATTAAAAATATACAGGGTGTCCCATATAAAAAATCAAATTTTCGGATAATAATTCTTAAATTATTAATTTAAAAAAAATTATACTTAAACCATTAAATTCTACGTAAAAAGGTACTTTGGAAATGTTTTCATAAAAATACAAAATTACCCATAGCAAAAAAGTTACAGCGATTTGTTAAAAATGTATATTTTTTAAAAACACCCCGTAACTCCGAAACTGTAACAGATATCGATATGCGGTTTTCACCATCATGTTTTTGACAAAAATTGAGCTCCAGACACCGATATTAGTTTTTGTCTATCTCCAATAGAAAAGGGTGTTTCCATTTAAAAGCGTCGAATTTGACCCACCCTGTACAGCTTTTTTTTGTACAGCTTTAGTTTTCAGCAGATACTTACGTCTATTATAAACAGTTGAAGGGCACAGGGGGAGAACACCGTCATTGCATTTTTTGACGAAAAATTATTAAAGTTGGGGGTTCGAACCTTTGGTGTTACAACAGCAATATAGAACACTAAATCACCACAATACACCAAAACGCTTTTACTTTTACACTGGACGCGCGTTTCGCTCATCATCAGCAGACTTATCGTAACTTTGAGAAACACCTCACTGTAGTATTGAGTAATAAAAAGGATTGGGAGGAAGAAAGGTTTGCTCAGCATGTAAAATACCATACCATAACGTGGTATACTGATGCGTCCAAAACCAAAGCAGGGACAGGGATAGCATTATTTGGGTCGAAAACTAAATACTCCGAATCAATGGGCACGATCAGGCAGAAATCTACGCTATCGAAAGATGCGTACAATTTATCTTATAGATAGGAACTGTTGAAAACAGGAAATAGCCATCTTACCCGATAGTCAAGCAGCACTAAACGCGATCAACTTAGTAACCATCAATTTAAAGTTGGTCAAAGAATGTCTAGAGAAACTCTAGACATTACAACAAATTAGGCAAAGGAAATAAAGTCGTCCCAAAAGGAGCGAACGCTAACTGGATTGTTCTATTTTCCAAGCGTGAACCAACTGAAAGCGGAACTGAAGAACCTGGAATGGGTATCCTCCAACGGTTTAAGACACTCGAAAAAGTTCCTCAGAACTTACGACCCAGAAAAATCAAGGATTTTCCTTGATTTAAGTAAGTAAATCTTCGGATTGTTACGGGGTATCTAACAGAAGTGTCTTCTCAACGAACACCTCAGTAGATTGAAGCTGAGAAACAACGGTGATTGCAGATTCTGTAGGGAAAATTGGGAAACACCAGAATACATGATCATTGAGTGTGACAACCGTTCGTACTATAAACTTTGGTACGGCTGATGTCGAAGATGGAGAGCTGACCTCTGTGGAGCCGTTTCAGATACTGGTTTTTGTTAAAGCTCTGAGACTGTATGATGAGTTTTAACTCGTTATAACTCAAGAAAGGGGAACACAATAGATCTGTAAGGTCGCGGTGATTAACTCCCCTCCTAAACATTCTACATTCTAAAAAACTAAAAACTAAAACTAAGATTTTTGTCGAAAATAAACTACACATGTCAATCGGTACATTTGAAGGTGTAGAATCGAAATCCGATTTAATTTGGGGGTGGGGGCTCTATAAGTGTATTCAAAAGTTATATTAAATATTTGCCATGTCGGGGAAGATTCCCGTTATCATCTGGAAAAAAACAGTCATTGTATTGTCGTTTCTTTGTTGCAATCTTTGTTGCAAATAAGCGATTAATATACCACAAATCGTCATATGTTGGGGTCTAATATTCTTTTCCAATTGAAAAACCCCATCGAAAAGGTTCTCAAACAACCACCGAAAAAACAACCTCATCAGATGCGTTGGATGAAAAACTTCATCTCACCAATTCGTGGAAAACCCAAAGGTGTTTTACGAAAATCTCACTCCAATGACCTTTCTGAAGATAGCGGTAATAACTACATCGACGACCCTCCTATTGACGCAGAGACCTCAGTAGAAGGATAGCTGGCGCTTTCATTGATTTTTTTATATTTTTATTAGTATTTTTTTTGGGTTTTATTGCATTTTTTATATTTTTGAGGTTTGCAGTTAAAGTGGTCAAGGACCAAAGGGACTAATATATATATTTTTTTAGTAACATTTCGGT